GGGGATCCCGACGACGTCGTGCTGGGTGAGGCGCTCGCGCTCGAGCCGCCGCGCGAGGGCGTCGACCTGCCCCGGGGTCAGCTCCGTGTCGTTGGGGTTGTTGTCGTAGATCGGGATGGCGGTCTGGCTGACGACGTTGTGGTCACGCGTGGCGTAGATGGACTGGACCTCGCGCCAGACGTTCGCCAGCTGCTCCTTGGGCAGGGGGCAGCTCAGCGCGCTCGGGGAGCCCGGCTCGGGGTCGAAGCGCAGCCGCTCCCCCGCCTCGGCCTCGTAGTTCTCGACGTGGAGGTAGACCGAGGCCGCGGCGGACTCCTTGATGTCGATCACCCGGCGGATCTCCAGCGAGGAGAAGCACATCTCCTGCACGACGTGGCGGATCCGAAGCACCTCCAGGGCGGGGTTGAAGCGGCGAATCGCCATCATCCCGTAGACCGGCGGCTGCGGGATGAAGAGGATGTCGATCCCACCAGGGTCGGAGATAAAGCCGAAGAAAGGACGACGAGAAACGATGTTGTAATGGAATTCCCGAACATCCTGCATTTTTAACCAGCGAGGGATGTTCCCGGTGTCGCGGAAGACCAAAACCGTGTCGTGCGTGATGCAGATATAGGCGCCGCGGAGGAAGAGGGTCGGCTGTCCGTCTAACGTCCGGCCGACAAGGTCCCCGCGAAGAAAGGTGTAGATCACGGCCTTGTCGAGAGATTTAAAGGTATGCCAAACACACATCGGAATCTGAGCGAAGATGATGCCATTTCGAGGATCAAAGGGCGGTAATCCGCGATAGGGCCGAACCATCAGCTTATCATACCCGAGTACGCTCTGCACAACATAGCAAAAACGTCGGTATTCGTATTCATTTCGCATACGGAGGACCACGCTAGTACGACTTCCCTTAAAGAAAGGCTCCCCCTTCGCACGGGGAGACTGGATGGTCTGGATATGCGCAAAGCGTGGGTTCGGGGTTTGACCGCTCTGGAGCTGAAAGCGCTCGCGTTCGAGGCGGAGGTTGGTAAATTGGTCCCGCATGCTCTCGTAGAGCTCGCGTAGAAAGAACGAGTCCCCGATGAACTCCTCATTCGAGATTTGACAACGTCCCGGGCATCCGTCGAGGCCGGCGGCCGGACAGAGAAGGGGCCAGGGCGCCGGGGCCTCGCCGGGCTGAAGGTGGCGCGCCTCGCCCTGAATCTCGACCTGGAAGAGGTCGTTCTCCTTGAGGTGGACGTCGTCGAGGTAGAACTCGTGCTCCTTTCCGATCGGGATGATGAAATCGACCTTGAGCTTCTTCCGCCAGCGGGTGCCATCGCAAAGAACAGAGTGGGAGGGGGAGTCAGAGGGGGGAGGCGGCGAAAATCGCCGGGTCACAGCGGACATGCCCGAAATCGACGCGGAGGCCAAATCCGACATAGGGGAGGCCTCGGAGGGTTTATCGCTGTTGGACTGCGCGATTTGGCTCTCCCGCAAGGTCCCCCCCGAGTAGTAGAGATAGCGCCGCATGGCGTCGAAGGCGATCTGACGCATCTGCCAGCCATCGAAAAGCACGTTGCCTTGCTTCTCGGCGTAGGTGTAGAACATGTCGAGTTACTTGTAGATGTATCTATATGTGTGTAGGGCTCTTCCTTGTCGATTATATTATATATATATATATATATATATATATATATATTGCACTGCGTTTAGTTGTATTTTTACCAATACAAGGAAATAATAACCTTGCTTTGTATTTTTTTTTACCAAAAAAAGCAATCACATATATTTTTTATGTTAGAAAACTTACTATAGTAACGTCACTAAGTGTTCTATCGCTACAATTGGTGGGTTAAAAAAGATTTTGATATCTAGAAATACATTCCTAGAGACATTTAAATCTTTTGTTTTGAAATAGTAGCATCGATGCGCTCAATAAATGGACTTTTTTTGGGTATACAGGAAGACTCCTCTGCCCGTGATTTTTACGTTAAATAAAATACGATCGAATCCAAAACGTTTGATTGGTATGAAGGATACCCTGTGTATTTATTTTTGCCATGTCTAAACATATTTCTACTTAAACACATACATTTGAAATTCACAAATGCGGTAAAACTAAAACTACCAGAGGGAGGTTATATTCAATGTAAGTGCCTTTCTGAAGGTTACACCTTCCCCCGTTTACCTTTACTTGCCGTGTACTTGTGTGTGTGTGTAGAGGGTTCTCTTTACTTTTTATAAATTTTAAAATGTAAAACTTGCCGAAAGGCAAACGAAAAGATTATAAAATAAAATAATGCAAATATTACAAGTAATAGAAGAGCAATGAAGCCGTCTTTTGAACACTTTGGTGCCTAGAATGATCATAACATTATATTGGATAGAGAGGAGAGCGGAATGAGGGGGCTTAACAGCTTTTTTGTTCATTATAATGCGCCGCACGTACATTCAGCTCCCAATATACTTGTGTTTTTTACTATTCTCAATCACGTGAATTTCACACCCATATACAATACTCATGGAGCTTGTGATCTACTTCGGCATCAAAATGTTTGCTAACGTTATGCAAAATATTCTTTGAAGAGTCCCAGGCATGAACTCTCTCACAAAGAACGCTTTGCAGCGATGTGAGATGACTTTTCATTCTCTCTGATGGATCTTGAAAAGTAAAAACACATAAAAGGGTAAAGTCATACCTTTTCCCCATCTACAAGCTGTAAGAATAGGTAACAAGTAAACAAAATTCTAAAAATTTATAGAAGAAATGGAATATCATCCCTTTTTAAACTGATGGTTATTTTCAATGGTTGTCAATTGAAGTAATCAGGAATAAATAAATGAACATAGAATCCGAAGATAATTGGCACTTATAAATCAATGGTGTATCATTTTTTTTAAATATACAGAATATAGAAAAAGTAGCATAAATGGTTCTCCTCGCTCCAAAGAATATTAAAGGATTCAGATATTCCTATCTAAAAGGAAAGGTCTGATTATCACCTCACAAACTACATTCAGAGAAGGAGAAAAGAAAACGCCTTGGGTAGACTTTAAGATGTAGTTTACAGAATCGGATTTAAATACCCCTCTTCTAAAAAAAAATGTTGTGCAAAATCGTCTTGTATTCTTTACATAATTGCGCATAACTTCAAATCATGATTTTGTTTCTGATCTTCCCGTTTTTTAATCTTTTCGTGGTGGTAAGCTTGCCTTTTTACGGTACGTTTCCACCGTTTTAAAATGCGTGTGTAGGCGAATTCAAAAGGCACACTCTGAATGCACAGACGAATTTTACCTTCAAAAAGAGGGCTCCCACTCATAAGAGGGAGGTCAATTTCTATAATATTTTGACCTGAAGACTCCCAAAGCCCCGGTGTATGTAGCAAATCTATATCGCCCTGGCCAACGGCAGCGTGCTCGTAGAGTAAAACTCGAATGGAATCGTACTTATGAACAAGAAATACCGCAGGCTCGCAGTTTGTGCCCCAGGAAAGATTCTCCGGGTTTCCGAGAAATGAGGATTTGTACACCCCGTTAAACGAATTTAAGCCCTCGCTATGTACCCAGGCCTCGACATGGCAGCGAAAGCGATCCGGCATTCGCGGCATGAGGGAAAGCACCTCCAAAAAATGCACCTCCACGGCGAATAACACAGTTAATTGCCCCTCCCGCTGGAGGAGCTGCCACCCCGGTGAGCAGCCTTCCAACCCCGGTGCGGCCCTCCCGCCGACGTAATCCATCATATTATGATCCCATACAACCAAGCGATTATACGAATGCTCATTTGGATTGTCCTCAGATGGCGGTTCACTCCGCACGAGTTGCGGGTCGTCGCGAGGGAATTCCTCTCCGCGTTGTAAAGAAAGATGCCGGAGGATGCCCGAAATCCGTCCACTTTCCTCTAAAAAAAACGCGGTCCATCGCAGGAAGGGGAGGATTTCGCCAAACGAATGGTACATTGCCACCGGAATCAGCTGATGAACGGCGATATAGGTAAAAAGGGGTATTCGATCAGTGTTCTTGTCCATAATACTATCGCGCTTACCATTAGGATCATGGCTTGTTTCCTGTGAAGTCTCGTTAAGGGGATCGGGAAGCATGGTTTTACGTTCCGCACTGCCGGTTTTCACGAGCAATCCCAGCAATAACGTACGGGTGGGGTGTGTTTCGGCATCTTTCGTTTTAGGATGACAATTATTGTCGTATTCTTTATAAAGATCCCAGCGATCCACTTCAAAAGACTGCGGCTGATACCATGTGCGATTTTGAAGCCGCAGATACGCGTTCGGGACATCATAAATTGATTTCAAATCCTTTTTATCCCCATCTCTCCGAGCATAGCTCGCTCCAACAAGGATGGTTTGCACGTTGGAGGGCACAAGAAAGGTTTTAAAATCGATAAATTCCACATCCCCGTCGGTATCGTTTCCACTTAACGCATCCCCGGAATGACGAGCGAGATTGGCCACCAAGGAATGCAGCTTTCCCTGCTTGGGATAGACGTGGTCGACGTAGTTATGGGCGTCGTCAAACATCACGAGAAAGGCATCTAAGTCATGCGCGCCATCCCAGCCAACGCCAAAACGCAAATTTAAAAGCGGTTCATTTGAAAGCTTTAGATTGCTCTTTGCTAAATCGTAGTTCGGGTGTCTCTGCAGTGCATCTAAACGAGAGTTTTGGGGTATATTCATGACGTCCAGCATAAGAGGGATCATATCGACAAAGGTATAGCCGAACGTGTGCAGATTAAGTTCTCGAAGATCCCAACAATTGGAGAGAATCTCCCTCTCTAGCAATGCCTCTTTGTTTGTATCGCTATTTGACTCAGGCGGTACACGAAGAAACATTGCCGCGAGGTTTGCCGTTGATTTTCTGTGGCTATTATCTAATTTGATAACGCCAACCCGCTTTCCTGTGGTTTCGTTCGTAATAACAAGCCTAGCATGTTGTAAACAACTCATATCCAGTCCATTATAGTTGCTAATGGTGATAAAAATAACCCCAACTTCGTTTGGAATTTTGTCGAGAACAAACGTCAGCACCTCATCGGGCAGCTCTTGCTTTAGGGTATAATGAACTAAATGCCCGTCCTCGTTAAAGGCCTCCCCACCATGCACGTTTAAATGATCAATCACTTCTTGAATATTTTGTAATTCTTCTTCCGCGTATAATCGACTGAATAAATTCTCCATTGTGAGGGCAACATTACGCTTGCCGGTGCGATGCCCGAAGTGGCCTTTACGGCGTCTTTTAGAAAGGTCGTCCACCGACATTCTATTCTCCTCCTCGCCGCCGATCCGACTATCCCCGCTAAGAAACATATAGGGCAAGTTATTTTGATTTACTTTATATGTCTCACTTAATTGTTTTTCATTTGTGGCCTGCGGAAAGAGATGGTTGAAGAAGACGACATCTAGAAATTGCCCTTCTCGTGAAAAGCAAACTGCGCTGAGATCGAGATCTACCGGTGCAGCTCCAAGGAACTCCCAACAGAGCCCAACCGATAAAATGATACCGCTTGGCAGCTGAAAGATCTTTTGACGAAGATCCGAGAGCATCGCTAAACAATACCAATATTCTAAATAATGAAATATAAGTAATAAATTACACTAAAGCGAAGGATAAATAAATATAGCAACGTAATGAGTAAATAATCCACAAGTAGAAGAACTAACACCACTCCCTACAAAGCATTCTTTCCCATTCTGTGGAGGCCATTTATTGAGGTACATCCAATGAAGGAATAAGGAAGAGTAGCACACATATGCATAAGAAATAGAAAGAAAAACTAAATAATGAACGAAGAAACGTGTAACCGATTAAATAAACAAATATATATTATATAGCCATCGAAATTTAGCGATATTCTACTCTTTGCTTCTTAGTATGGATCCGGGTTTATATTGTAAATCACGTTGCTAGCAGCCATTTTGGTCCCTGTTATTCGAATGAGCTCCCCTTATGTTACCTCCTTTAGGTGCCATTCATTTTTTTCTGCAGTGAATTTTTCATCCTCGGACGAAAGAAATATGAAGAACCCCTTGCAATTATAGCTCACAACAGTAAGCTATTCTTTTAAGAAGAGTGAAGCACTATTAGAATATGTGTATATATTCTAATTGATATTCAGGTTTCGTTTCGTTATTTGTTTAGTTTGGCTAAAGTCGAGAAGTGCACAGGATGTCATGAGAGCTATGATAATCTACCTCAGCACGGGGGATACCAGGATAGGGTTACATTATGTGTAGCTGTTTCTATTTACTTTTATAGCTTGGAAAATAAATTAAGCCATTTTTATGGAAAGCAACTTTTCAACGCTAGGGATACCTATAGTGACCAAAAAAAAGAAAAGGGATAAATAAAGGTATATGAACCGCACATGTAGCGAATGAGTCGACACACGAATTTCCCAACGCCAGACCCCACCGGGGTTAGGGTAGGGTCACTCTTGCGGTTCCTTAATGCCGTTCCTCTTAATCACACTTAAACCGGATACCCAATCCGTTTTTCTATCCTTTACCAATCCTACCGCACCCATCTCCATCTCCACATATATATATATATATATGTATGTATAGATGCACAGGTGTGTCTGTTACACGT